AAGGTGAAAAAATATTACAAAATATTATAAGTCAAATTGAAAAAAATCGCATGCGATAAAAAATATGAAAAAATAAAAAAAAATGTCACAAAATACTACAAAATCTATATTAACATCATTATTGGCATCTTTTTATGCGACTTTTTTACATTTTATCCTTTTATGCCAAGAGTGCATTCTGAATTGTCAAAATTTGTCAACATCGGTCCAGCCATTCTTGAGATATAAGCACTCTAACTAACATCCCATTCCTTTGTATATACACATTGTATATATTTCGCCATATATATACGGTCAGAATTGACTTGTTCGTCTATTTGTGATTTCGCCGGGATTAAAAATATTCGCGGTTTAATGGAAAATTTGACTTTTATTTAACACAAATGTTGTGGCCTATTTCACCCACTAATTCTTCAAAATTGGAAGGCTTCTGCCCAGCCATATGATCTAGCTCCGTGCTAACTTCCGCTTTGATTAGTCTATAATTGCGACCTATAGAGCAACTGCAAAATCAAAAATTTTTTCAGTTGTTGGTCCATTTCAACCCCTAAATATTATGCTATCATCTCCAAAAGCAATTGAGTTTTATTCTGACCCTAGCCCCACCTCCGTTCTATATTTCGTGAAGATCGGGCCATAATTGCGACCTGTAGAGTGATTACAAATTAACATGGACAGACGGACATACGGACGGACGGACATACATAGCTAGATCGGCTCAGCTCGGCGAGATAGGAAGATCCATATATACTTTCCTATGTGGGAAACCAATATTTCGAGGTGTTACATAATTTTTGGCCCAATCAAACTTATAATACCCCCAACACATAGTGTTGTAGGGTATAATCAGGAACATGCCAAATTTAGTCCGCATACACGAAGGGTTCGTCCTTCGGATTTTTTAATTTTATAGCAAATGCCAAGCGTACAGGAAACTGCAATCTTTTGAAGTTGAGTGGATTTTCTGTTGTAATTAGTGAATTCGAGGTAGCAACATACTTCCCCGTAATAATCGTATCCCCAATTAAATTGTGGTGTGTTTTTTTACTGTTAGCCTAATACTATTGCAAAAGCGTTGTGGGTCAATGCTTCTTAATAAACTCATATCCCAATCTGAACCGATTTCAATATAATTTGACAAAATCTACTTCTACACCAAATTCCGTCACACGTTCCATACGTTTCATTGAAAATTGGAGGTACACACCGTGTTTGGTGCATCAAATATGTGAAATCAGCCGAGTAGATATATGGGAGCTATATCCAAATCTTAACCAATTTCTAATAAATTTGTCAAATTTATTATTGTAACCAAATTCCGCCACACATTCTGAATTTCAGTGAAATCGGACATACATATCGTGTTTGGTACATAACATACATGAGAAAAATATGTATGGTTTCAATATAATTTGGCAAATTTTTTTTGTACCAAATTTAGTCACTCATGCCGAGTTTCATTGGAATCGTGCCGAATTTCATTGGAATCATATGTGGGAGATATATCCAAATCTGTACCAATTTCAATATAATTTGACAAATTTATTTTCTGACCAAATCCCGTCACGCATTCCAAATTTCATTGGAATCGAACATGCACATCGTGTTTGGTGCATCTAATAAACGAAATCGGTCGAAAGTATACAGGATGAGATAAAAAAACTGCAACAAAGTCAATCGCCATAATTTTTAGATTTTTTATTTTTAAATTTTATGGAATGAGAGCAAAAAATGTCGGAAATAGCATCAAATTTAAGAATAAGTTTAGATTTGTTCGAACTGGTCACCTTTGGCACGAATTATGACCCGCAAACGACAAATGAAACCGTCACACGCTTCTCGAATGTTGCTTTGCGGTATTTTGGCCCATTCCCGGCGAAGCGCTTGCTTGAGGCGATCCTTTGGTATTTTTTACTGCCAACCTTGCTTTCCAAAATACTCCAGACACAATAGTCCAACGGATTGGTATCCGAGATTTTGGTGGCCATTGCGCACTGGAAATGAAGCGAGGAATCTCATTTTGTAACCATTCTTGTGTGGCGCGTGCTGAGTGCGATGGTGCTGAGTCCTGTTGGTCCGAGTCCAATGTCTGCAGCCAAAATGTTTGCGTGTCCAAGGCTTTAATACACCCTCCGGAATATTTTGGCGATAATATTTGGCATTTATTTTGATGCCACGGTCGATTAACACAAGCGGAGAGCGACGATCGACTGTTATGGCGGCCCACACCATCACCATGGCCGGCGCTTGAGTTCTGGTGGCCACCCGAAGGTGCACATTTTCAGCTGACCTCTTTGGCAAGTAAACACGATCATTTTCTTTGTTTACAAACTGCTGGACAACGAATGTTTTCTCATCGGAGAAACCCAAATTCGGCAGTTCAACACTTTCGGCCAAGCGAAGCAACTCTTTAGTTCTATTGAGTCTGCTTTCGTTCTGTTGCTGTGTAAGTTCTTGCACTTTTTGGAATTTCAATGGCTTTACCCCGAGCTCATTTTTCAATATTTGCCGAATGGAATATTGCGATATGTTTAGTTCACGAGCCATTTTTCGGCCACTGAGAAGCGCGTTTCGGTCAAGTCGCTTGATTACTTTTGAACAATTTCTGCTGATGTTGCTGTTTTCTTTGGTTCACTTCCTTGACGTCGGGCTACGCTACCAGTATCACGGTAACGAGCGATGGTACGAGACACAAAAGATTTATTTATATTTAAATGCTGGAGTGCTCAAACGATAGCCACTTGTGGTTTTCCAGCCAAATATTAAGAAATCACACTATCATGCATGAATTCCATCACGAATACCTTTTTTTCTGGAAAATTTTCACAAAAATGCTCTTGTACGCTTGTAAACAATATAATGAGCTGGAACTGGAATAATTTTAGAAGCTGTCGGACGAGTGGCTTAGAAATGACAGCAGTCTGAAGTTGTTTGCAGCATTTTCATCTCACCCCGTGTATGGGAGCTATACCCAGATCTCAACCGATTTCAATATAATTTGGTAAATGTTGTTTGGTACCAAATTTCGTCTCTGTGCCTGAATTTTATTGGAATCGGACATTCATATTGCGTTGGGTGCATCAATTGTGTAAGATCGGACGAAAATACACATTGGAGCTATATCCAAATCTGAACTTATTTTAATATAATTTGATTAATTTATTTTTGTACCAAATTTAATAATTTAATTGGAATCGGAAATACGTATCGTGTTTGGTGCAACAAATTTAGTGAAATCGGCCGAAAATATTAATGGGAGCTATATTCAAATCTGAACCGATTTAAATATAATTTGGCAAATTCATGTTTGTCTCGAATTCCGTTACGCATTCCAACTTTAGAGACTGTTTCTGTAATAGATCAATAGATATGTGCATATAAAATGCCGATTCTGATGCTATAGCATAAATTACATTCAGGCAATGTTGTAGTATACTTGGAAATTTTCAAGAAAATCTGTGCAGTAGTTTTCGAGTCCATAAATTACAAACACATATACCCTACACCACAAGGTGGTCAAGGTATTATGTCTTTGTGCATTTGTTTGTAACAGGCAAAAGGAAACGAGATAGACCCATAGTTCCTTTTGATGATCTGCATAAAATCACATTCTGAGTCGATTTATGCATGTCCGTCCGTCCGTCTGTCCATGTATTTTTGTAAACAAAGTACAGGTCGCATTTATTGCCCGATCCAGATGAAATTTTGCACAGATCATTTGTTTGGCCCAAGGACGAACCTTATTGAAATTGGAGATAATCGGTCAAAATTTGGATATATCTCCCATATGTATCTTCGTCCGATTTGCCTTTTATTGTGCACCAAACGTGTAATATCAGCCAGAATTGTATGGACTTTTGCACATGCACCCAAATTAGGCCTGAAAATAAGTATGCCAAATTTAATCGAAATCGGTTCAGATTTGGATATAGCTCCCACATATAACTTCGTCCGATTTACCATTTATTGTGCACCAAACGTCTAATATTTGTCCAAATCGGATGGAATTTGGCACTTACGACCGAATTGAGTCTAGAAGCTAGTATGTTAAATTTGGTGAAGATCGGTTCAGATATAGCTATAGCTTCCATATATATTATTCATCCGATTTGTTATATTTGTTACCCACAACCGTAATATGCACTCAGTAACGACGATATTCAGGGAAATATATCAAATACAGCTCAGAAATCTCTTTGCTACATTTTATGGAGATCGGTTGAGATTTGGATATAGCTCCCATATATATCTTTTTCCGATTTCAAATTAATTTTGCACCAAATGGGCCGAATTTAAACGGCTTCGGCATATTTAGTCCTTTGAACTTGAAATTATAATCATAGCGTGTACGATTGAATTCTCCCATAAAACTTTTAATTGTTATGCGCAGCTCTACTAAATTATCAAAGTGGTGTAGGGTATCATAAAATCGGCCCCGCCCGACTTTAAGACTTTCTTTACTGGTTTCCTCTCTTATAGACATAGAAATTCGAATAAAATTCGAATCCTATTCCTTGTCAGGTCCCATGAAATATTACATTCAAAAAAGTAGATCACTTCATTGAAGATACATCCCAATGTACATGACATTGCCCACATCCACATTTCTACTATTGTTTGTTGTCGCTACCGTTTGTTGAAATAATTGTTTTTCCAAAGTGTCTATTGTTGTTTATTAGGGTATTTTTTTGCTGTAATTGTAAAACGATCGCGTGCCATAACTTATCTTTGTCGCTCGAAACAAATTAAAAGTAAAACGTGACTCGATCATGACGTCATTGTTGCCAGACGATGACAATTCTATGCATTTGACACCAACAAATGTGGCTGTAATAAATAACTAAATTTTTTTTTTGTTTTTTTTTTTTTTTTGAATATAAAGTGATAATGGCGGGCGAAACTGGGTCGACAAAGTGATCAAAGATGGCTATAAATAATATTAAAATCTCGTGAAATATGAATACATGTGATTCATGGGTTTGGGAATTAAAAATTCAATATTTATTTGAAACTATTTTTATTAATTTTTATGCTGATTCTTATTTTAGGTTTGATGGGGTTTTTTCGTTGTTGATGCTAAACGGAAACATTTTCCAAACTTTAGTTGTCTTCCGTGCACTCTCCAGTATAGGCCTTAGTTATGTCTAAAGAAAATTTTTATACAATTATTATTAATTATACAATTTATCGTTATCCCAGATACCTACTTTGCCCTGTTACACAAGCGGCACTCTCCATGATACATTCACTGGAAAAGGTAATGAATTTGCCATCAGGAGTTTTTCCACATACCGGATCATATTTATAGCCACATCGGCGAGTACATTTTTCATTGGCCACAACACAAATTATGGCCATAAAGAGAACCAAGGCAACAAACAAAAAACGCATATTTCACCAATTGATATTCCAAATTTGATGGCAACTTCTAGATAACTACTCGCTAGACTAAATTATATGCATGGAAAAATATGCAAGACTGTCTAATTTTTAGACACCTTTCTTTGTGCCAACAACAGCAACAACAACTCAATATTGCATGCTTGCTCAAATCTCGGCTGGGGTCAATAAAACATTGAGGTTATCACAGTCCGCTATTTAGTAGTTTCAATATTGAATTCTTTTGGCTTTGAAATGTCATGTGTTTATTTTGAAAATATAAATTCATTTGGTTTCTTTGAGTATGACAAAATTTAATCGACATTTGTTTGAAAACTTGAAAAGGAACATTTTAGACTTCTAGGCGATAAGATTGCTGCTTTAGCGATCATGAAAAATTTATGTGAAAGATAATTATTTCGTATTTTATAATTCGATTAAATATTGAATATTTTTGAAAAAAATATACAATTGTTTAATCGTTTTTTTTCTTATTTTAGGGTCTTAAGCATTTTGAAAAACTAAGCAGTAAGTACGAAAAAAAAAATCTCTTATATATTTTAGCTATCTCTATAGATTTTAGCTATTGTTTGTGATCACTTTTTAAGGCATGAATTTCTTAATATTTTAAAATGGTCATAACTCCTTAAATATTGAGTTTTCGGCATTTTTAGCTATTATTTGTGATCACTTTTTAAGGCATGAATTTCTTAATATTTTAAAATGGCCACAACTCCTTAAATATTGAGTTTTCGGCGTTTTTAGCTATTATTTGTGATCACTACTTAAGGCATGAATTCTTAAATATTTTAAAATGGCCATAACTCCTAAAATATTGAGTTTTCGGCGTTTTTAGCTATTATTTGTGATCACTTTTTAAGGCATGAATTTCTTAATATTTTAAAACGGCGTTTTTAGATATTTTTTGTGATTACTTTTTAGGGCATGAATTTCTTTATAATTTAAAATGGCCATAACTCCTTAAATATTGAGTTTTCGGCGTTTTTAGCTACTATTTGTGATCACTTTTTAAGGCATGAATTTCTTAATATTTTAAAATGGCCATAACTCCTTAAATATTAAGTTTTCGTCGTTTTTAGCTATTATTTGTGATCACTTTTTAAGGCATGAATTTCTTGATATTTTAAAATGGCCATAACTCCTGAAATATTAAGTTTTCGGCGGTTTTAGCTATTATTTGTGATCACTTCTTAAGACATGGATTCTTAAATATTTTAAAATGGCCATAACTCCTGAAATATTAAGTTTTCGGCGGTTTTAGCTATTATTTGTGATCACTTCTTAAGACATGGATTCTTAAATATTTTAAAATGGCCATAACTCCTTAAATATTAAGTTTTCGGCGGTTTTAGCTATTATTTGTGATCACTTCTTAAGGCATGAATTCTTAAATATTTTTAAATGGCCATAACTCCTCAAATATTGAGTTTTCGGCGTTTTTAGCTATTATTTGTGATCACTTTTTAAGGCATGAATTTCTTAATATTTTAAAATGGCCATAACTCCTTAAATATTAAGTTTTCTGCGGTTTTAGCTATTATTTGTGATCACTTCTTAAGGCATGAATTCTTAAATATTTTAAAATGGCCATAACTCCTTAAATATTAAGTTTTCGGCGGTTTTAGCTATTATTTGTGATCACTTTATAAGGCATGCATTTCTTAATACTTTAAAACGGCCATAACTCCTTAAATATTAAGTTTTCGGCGTTTTTAGCTATTATTTGTGATCACTTTTTAAGGCATAAATTTCTTAATATTTTAAAACGGCCATAACTCCTTAAATATTGAGTTTTCGGCGTTTTTAGCTATTATTTGTGATCACTTTTTAAGGTATGAATTTCTTAATATTTTGAAATGGCCATAACTCCTTAAATATTGAGTTTTCGGCGTTTTTAGCTATTATTTGTGATCACTTTTTAAGGAATGAATTTCTTAATATTTTAAAATGGCCATAACTCCTTAAATAGTGAGTTTTCGGCGTTTTTAGCTATTATTTGTGATCACTTCTTAAGGAATGAATTCTTAAACATTTTAAAATGGCCATAACTCCTAAAATATTGAGTTTTCGGCGTTTTTAGCTATTATTTGTGATCATTTTTTAAGGCATGAAATTCTTAATACTTTAAAACGGCCATAACTCCTTAAATATTAAGTTTTCGTCGTTTTTAGCTATTATTTGTGATCACTTTTTAAGGCATGAATTTCTTGATATTTTAAAATGGCCATAACTCCTGAAATATTAAGTTTTCGGCGGTTTTAGCTATTATTTGTGATCACTTCTTAAGACATGGATTCTTAAATATTTTAAAATGGCCATAACTCCTGAAATATTAAGTTTTCGGCGGTTTTAGCTATTATTTGTGATCACTTCTTAAGACATGGATTCTTAAATATTTTAAAATGGCCATAACTCCTTAAATATTAAGTTTTCGGCGGTTTTAGCTATTATTTGTGATCACTTCTTAAGGCATGAATTCTTAAATATTTTTAAATGGCCATAACTCCTCAAATATTGAGTTTTCGGCGTTTTTAGCTATTATTTGTGATCACTTTTTAAGGCATGAATTTCTTAATATTTTAAAATGGCCATAACTCCTTAAATATTAAGTTTTCGGCGTTTTTAGCTATTATTTGTGATCACTTTTTAAGGCATGAAATTCTTAGTATTTTAAAATGGCCATAACTCCTTAAATATTGAGTTTTCGGTGTTTTTAGCTATTATTTGTGATCACTTTTTAAGGAATGAATTTCTTAATATTTTAAAATGGCCATAACTCCTTAAATATTGAGTTTTCGGCGTTTTTAGCTATTATTTGTGATCACTTTTTAAGGAATGAATTTCTTAATACTTTAAAACGGCCATAACTCCTTAAATATTAAGTTTTCGGCGTTTTTAGCTATTATTTGTGATCACTTTTTAAGGCATAAATTTCTTAATATTTTAAAACGGCCATAACTCCTTAAATATTGAGTTTTCGGTGTTTTTAGCTATTATTTGTGATCACTTTTTAAGGTATGAATTTCTTAATATTTTGAAATGGCCATAACTCCTTAAATATTGAGTTTTCGGCGTTTTTAGCTATTATTTGTGATCACTTTTTAAGGAATGAATTTCTTAATATTTTAAAATGGCCATAACTCCTTAAATATTGAGTTTTCGGCGTTTTTAGCTATTATTTGTGATCACTTCTTAAGGCATGAATTTCTTAATACTTTAAAACGGCCATAACTCCTTAAATATTGAGTTTTCGGCGTTTTTAGCTATTATTTGTGATCACTTTTTAAGGCACAAATTTCTTAATATTTTAAAACGGCCTTAACTCCTTAAATATTGAGTTTTCGGCGTTTTTATCTATTATTTGTGATCATTTTTTAAGGCATGAAATTCTTAATATTTTAAAACGGCCATAACTCCTTTAATATTGAGTTTTCGGCGTTTTTATCTATTATTTGTGATCACTTTTTAAGGCATGAAATTCTTAATATTTTAAAATGGCCATAACTCCTTAAATATTGAGTTTTCGGCGTTTTTAGCTATTATTTGATCACTTCTTAAGGCATGAATTCTTAAATATTTTTAAATGGCCATAACTCCTCAAATATTGAGTTTTCGGCGTTTTTAGCTATTATTTGTGATCACTTTTTAAGGCATGAATTTCTTAATATTTTAAAATGGCCATAACTCCTTAAATATTAAGTTTTCTGCGGTTTTAGCTATTATTTGTGATCACTTCTTAAGGCATGAATTCTTAAATATTTTAAAATGGCCATAACTCCTTAAATATTAAGTTTTCGGCGGTTTTAGCTATTATTTGTGATCACTTTATAAGGCATGCATTTCTTAATACTTTAAAACGGCCATAACTCCTTAAATATTAAGTTTTCGGCGTTTTTAGCTATTATTTGTGATCACTTTTTAAGGCATAAATTTCTTAATATTTTAAAACGGCCATAACTCCTTAAATATTGAGTTTTCGGCGTTTTTAGCTATTATTTGTGATCACTTTTTAAGGTACGAATTTCTTAATATTTTGAAATGGCCATAACTCCTTAAATATTGAGTTTTCGGCGTTTTTAGCTATTATTTGTGATCACTTTTTAAGGAATGAATTTCTTAATATTTTAAAATGGCCATAACTCCTTAAATAGTGAGTTTTCGGCGTTTTTAGCTATTATTTGTGATCACTTCTTAAGGAATGAATTCTTAAACATTTTAAAATGGTCATAACTCCTAAAATATTGAGTTTTCGGCGTTTTTAGCTATTATTTGTGATCATTTTTTAAGGCATGAAATTCTTAATATTTTAAAATGGCCATAAATATTGAGTTTTCGGCGTTTTTAGCTATTATTTGTGATCACTTTTTAAGGCATGAATTTCTTAATATTTTAAAATGGCCATAACTCCTTAAATATTGAGTTTTCGGCGTTTTTAGCTATTATTTGTGATCACTTTTTAAGGTATGAATTTCTTAATATTGTAAAATGGCCATAACTCCTTAAATGTTGAGTTTTCGGCGTTTTAGCTATTATTTGTGATCACTTTTTAAGGAATGAATTTCTTAATATTTTAAAATGGCCATAACTCTTTAAATATTGAGTTTTCGGCGTTTTTAGCTATTATTTGTGATCACTTTGTAAGGAATGAATTTCTTAATATTTTAAAATGGCCATAACTCCTTAAATATTGAGTTTTCGGCGTTTTTAGCTACTATTTGTGATCACTTCTTAAGGCATGAATTCTTAAACATTTTAAAATAGCCATAACTCCTTAAATATTGAGTTTTCGGCGTTTTTATGTATTATTTGTGATCACTTCTTAAGGCATGAATTCTTAAATATTTTAAAATGGCCATAACTCCTTAAATATTGAGTTTTCGGCGTTTTTAGCTATTATTTGTGATCACTTTTTAAGGCATGAATTTCTTAATATTTTAAAATGGTTATAACTCCTTAAATATTGAGTTTTCGGCGTTTTTAGCTATTATTTGTGATCACTTTTTAAGGCATGAATCTCTTAATATTTTAAAATTGCCATATCTCCTTAAATATTGAGTTTTCGGCGTTTTTAGCTATTATTTGTGATCACTTCTCAAGGCATGAAATCTTAAATATTTTAA